GAGGTTACTAATATCTGTCTCTCAAGTTTTAACGTCTAGCATGTAACGCATCTGCATACGGTTGACATTTTTCTTACGCAGTCTTCTGGTACTTTACAGTGGGTATATCTGTTACTTCTCTTCGAGGCAAACACTTTTTTGAGGTTTCTTTTAAATTCTTTATAATTTCTTTTGCTAATTTTTTGCCTAGGTCTCTCCCAAGAATTAATATGTTCTGGGATGATTTTGGAGGGTTGTCGTGTTCAGCATTTATAGGGATTTGTAAGAATATTTTGCCCAATTTTCATATGGGCATGTGTTAAATTCCCAGTGTGGTAGCTTGTTGTGTAAAGCAAATTCTACATGCTATTTTTAGGAAAATTGAGAATTCGATATTTTCAATATTCATTCTGGTTTCTTTTGAGTTTCGGAGGGTTTAATGATTTCGGCGAAATATAATCCTAGTATAGAATTTCCCTAAAAAGTACATTTTTCTTGGTTGGGGAGTTGCCATCTAGGTATCTGTGGAAGTTTAATTACTTTTAGTGGAAATGATGAGTAATAGTAGGAATCATGTGAATAATAATCATGAAGCTGGAGAGAAGAAACCATCTACCAATTCTAGAGGCGGCGGTGGAGGAGGAGCCACCACTTTTTCAGGGAAATCAATGTCAACCAGCGGCAGCGTGGGGTCCCCCTCGAGCCGGAGTGAGGCTGCAATGGCAACTCCAGCAAGCGATAACACATTCCTTGGGTTAAACAATCTTGATATCCAAGGTGATGATGACAGATCTCAGGGGGCTATGAGGTGAGCCTTTAAGTTCTTTATTCTGTTCGTAGTGTCCATCAGAATTTTGTCATCGATGTATTTCCTCTGTGCAGCTTATATAATTAGTTGAAAACTCACTTCTATTGTGTTGGATGTTTTGTCATAAATCTCTTTAGTTGATTATGAATAATTGTTGTAGCATTGTTGTGAATATGTTAGGATATGACTTCTAGTAGATGTGTTGATGGACAGAAAGGAATAGCATAAACAGATTTATATAGGTGACGCCAAATTTATTGAGAATAAGGCTTAGTTTATTCCTGTTAATAATGTTAGGGAAGGAGGAACACAAATAATAACATGCAGTGAATATGAATAAGAATGAAGTGTTTAAAAAAGAGTACATATTGTGGATTAACAAGAAATATTTTCTTAAATAGAGTTGAATGGGATTCATGTAGTGATCCTTTATAGTATAAGACACTGATACTTTGTTCAATCAAGAAATCTGTTTCAGAGATAATGTGGTTAAAAGATTGGTGCAACTCCATGAAGTTAATGTCGAGGATGATAATTTATAAATTCTAACTATAATATGTAAATAGTGAATTGAGGCAATCATAGAACACGGTTAAGTAGGACACTTTTGCTATTCATGTGGAAACAGTGAGGAGTAGAGTGGATGTGTTTTGCCGTGTTGAACGGAGCGTTAAAAGGATGATGCTAATGTAGCTTCCATGCATGACTCTCAAATCGGTGTGTTGTCTTGTAATATTCATAACATTTCAACTTTTCTTTTCTTTTCTTGCCAACTGTGATTGATTATTGGTTTCTAATCAGCAACAGGAAGAAGAAAAGAGGTCAACGTGCAGCTGAAGGGGATAAGAGCGGTAGAGGGCTTCGTCAATTTAGCATGAAAGGTATTTTATTTCTCATCTGTCTTCATCTGTCCTCTATATATATATATACGGTGAAGTGGACGTATTATGAGGATGGTTTGGAGATTCTTAATAATAAAGAATAAATGCCATTAGGAAGGTAAGCTTAAACAGAATCAGTCGGCAATTACAATTTCATATCTGTCAATCATTGGTTTGCTACTAAAATTGGAGATCTAAATCACTAATTATTAATGATAAAGTTCTCAAGAACTAGATTGGAAATCAAGGGGGATTAGCAAATCCAGGCAAACTTTGGATCTGACGAGACACATTGGTCTTAATAGAAGGGTCCATTTAGCATGGAAAATGACAGATAAATGTTTTCTGTTGTGGTTATGTATGTGAGTTGTGAATACTGCACAAAATCATCACCACTTTTTGGTTTCAAACTGGTGTTTCTTGAGCTCCAGGGAATGTTACATGAACTTTCTGAAAACTGAGGGTGTTACTGCATTTTGGATGGCCTTTGGAATGCTCGCATAATTAACCTTTTTTTTTTTTTTTTTTTTTTTTTTTTTTTTACTTGTATACACTTTTATTAGGAGTTGCACATAATTAACCTCTCCTACTCTTTTATGGATAGTTTGCGAGAAAGTGGAAAACAAAGGAAGAACTACTTACAATGAGGTCAGATGACTCACCAAAAGTATTTCTTTGAAATTATTCTTTCTGCTTTTCTGCAATATGGTAGGGTGATCGTGTAATTCCTATCATTTGATTCTTCTTTTGCTCATTTTATCCCATCCTTGATTTATAAATCCAGTAATCATTTTCTGTTGATGCCCAATGGTTTTGATGTTTGATTGAAAGAGCCACTGTGGGATAGTTTTTGATCAAAAGAGTTGTGGTCATTGATCAAAATGTGCAACTTGGTCTCTTCTACTGTCATTTTTCGTCTAATGAGAGACATTGCTTCATACTGTAGAATGTGCAACTTGGTTTCTTTTGATGAGAATTCATATCAACTGCCATGGAACAGGGGAGTTATTTTATTGGTGATTTAGAAATTATATGGGTGTATGGGAATTCCCTCACGTGTCAAATGACGGTACTGTTCTATGCACCCATAAGTGTATATTGTGCAGCTTAACAGCTTGATTGAGGAGAGAAAACTTGGGTCCCGTGGAATGACCTTAATATTTTTCCATAAATGTTAAGTTGTTAAACTGCTTGTTATCGTGTGATAACTAGATTTGACAAAAATAAAGTCTGACCAGGTTGCAGATGAACTTGTTGCTGAATTTGCAGATCCTAACATTGGTGTTGGATCTTCAGACCAGGTTTGCTGAGTTTATAATTGTCTCCTCCTGTGTTTGTGGTAATTAAAAAGTCAAAGTTTTAGGCTTTTGATTTGTCTTCTGTACATGTGACAGCAACAATATGATGAGAAAAACATTCGGCGAAGGGTGTATGATGCTCTAAACGTACTAATGGCAATGGATATAATCTCCAAAGATAAAAAGGATATACAGTGGAAGGGACTACCTCGCAGTAGCTTGAATGACATTGAAGAGCTCAAGGTTCCATTTTAATTTCCTTCCTTTCATTTCTACCGTCTCTTTTTGTTTACTTTTCCCATATATTTTTATGTCACAGGAAAAGGACATCTCAGCGTGCCATTTAATTTCTATTATATCAGCGAATATAGCTTATGTATATGCTTGTTATTGCAGACAGAATGCCTTGGACTTAGTAATCGGATTGAAAAGAAATCAGCTTATTTGGAAGAGCTCGAGGAACAAGTAAGAACATAGATAATGCCTGTCTGTTTGAATCTGAAGATATGGTAATTGTTGTTGGCATGTCTAATGAATTTTCCTTTTTGCACTTTGGTTGGCCAAAGTACGTAGGTCTTCAAAACCTTGTGCAACACAATGAGCTATTATATGGCTCAGGAAATGCTCCTACTGGTAGTGTGGCCTTACCTTTTATATTGGTGCAGGTAAAGTTGTTTGATAATATCTTAGCATTAATTTTTGGATGATGGATTTTTATTGTGTCCATCATCCAAAAATTAATGCTCATCATCACACGCAGCATTTTTTCCTTTTCTGCAGTCCCTTTTGCTTTTTACTAGAGAAGATGGGAACAATTGTCTAGACTTTATGTATTTCCTGGTGATGATATCAGATTCAGTCTCTATAATTGAAAAGATGGCTACTTAAAGAGCTCGAGGAACAAGTAAGAACATAGATAATGCCTGTCTGTTTGAATCTGAAGATATGGTAATTGTTGTTGGCATGTCTAACGAATTTTCCTTTTTGCACTTTGGTTGGCCAAAGTACGTAGGTCTTCAAAACCTCGTGCAACACAATGATCTATTATATGGCTCAGGAAATGCTCCTACTGGTGGTGTGGCCTTACCTTTTATATTGGTGCAGGTAAAGTTGTTTGATAATATCTTATCTTTAATTTTTATTGTGTCCGTCATCCAAAAATTAATGCTCATCATCACACGGCAGCATTTTTTCCTTTTCTGCAGTCCCTTTTGCTTTTTACTAAAGAAGATGGGAACAATTGTCTAGACTTTATGTATTTCCTGGTGATGATATCAGATTCAGTCTCTATAATTGAAAAGATGGCTACTTGCTTGGGCTTTTTACATAACCTTAATACTCGCTAGTGAAGTTCCTACAATTATTTTGGGTGTTGAAAGTTCATGGATATATGAAATCCCAGCATAAGTCGTAATGCTTTTATTTCAATCATTTTTTGAAAGTTCCTGGAGATGTAAAATATCAACGTAATCTCTGGATATTGGCATGGTGTCATCAACTTAGGATATACTTGAGTCTTTATGAGGAAATTCAACCAAGCCACTGCAGTATGCAAATGAAAACAGAAAATTGTTTACTACGTTAAAATTTTTTGATGATTTTTCTAGTAATAATTTGTTTAAAAGATCTTGCGTGCCTCTGTAATGGTTAAACAAGTTGCATTTGGCTGTTGAAATTGTGATTTCAATTAATATTTCATTATCATCCTAGTAACTGATTCTTGGTTTTGAAATATTTTATGATGGATAGTGTTTGACAGAGATTTTTGTAGAATTAGTTATCACGCTTCTTATTGATTTTTCTATCGGAACTGTAGACTCGTCCTCATGCAACAGTAGAGGTGGAAATATCAGAAGATATGCAGCTGGTTCATTTTGATTTCAATAGGTGAGGGAACCGTTTTGGTATTGTACTCATTTTAAGAGAGAAATATTAGAGGGAAACTTTCTAGTGCCTATTGCCTGATTTCATATTTGCCTTAGCTTAAAATTTACTTATTTGTTTTAAAACAATTAACTTTTTTATTGGCGAATTTGGAAATAAGCAAGTTAATTATTTTGAAATTAAGGTCAATAAAAAATTAAGAAAAAAGAGTTTCTTTTTAAACTTACATGTAACTTAGTTTTAAGCTTAATCAAACATGGGTACATGATCTTTTTTAAGTGTTTTTCTGTGCAATATCTAGCATGGTGGTATTTTTTTGGCAAAGATTTGAGTAATGTAGTTGGAACACAGTCATTTTTCCAGTTTATGCCCTTATCAAGATAATACTTTTTATTGCAATTAGACTCAATGTCCTTGACATGTTTTTAGTAAGTACACTCCGCCTTCTCTCGTGACTGATTTATTTGTTCGAATAATTGCAGCACCCCTTTTGAGATACACGATGACAATTACGTTCTCAAGGCTATGAAATTTTGTGAAAAACAAAGAGGTGACGGTACAGATCGTATCCCTGCAAATGGAGGTGAAAGCTCAAGCATGGCTAATTTGTACCAGCCTCATCCATCAAGATCAAACATACCGGGTATGACTCCAACTTCGCCTCCCCTTCCTGGAATATTGAAGGCACGTGTTAAGTACGAGCATTAGTTTTCTTGCTTCAAGCTCTAGCATCTCAGAATTGTTGTATATCAATTGAAGAGGTAGTACTGGTTTCTCTTTGGCTTTGAGAATCATTGAGTATGCTTCTATAGACCACAAATTATATGGTTTTCTATGAATCTATTATAGGGTTTTACATAATTGTGATGCTTTTTATATTATACGGCGTAGAAAATGCTGTTTAAGCTGTAAGAAACCGTATAGGATACGTTGAGTCTAATAGGATCGTGGAATTTATTATACGAGATAGATGGTCGGAATTTAATTTCACATTGTGTTGTGAGTTGCTAATTGAGAGCAAGCAATTCATAAGGAGTTGCCTTGACATAAAGATAACTTCCATGGTAATGGATTTGGCCAACTTGTTGGTACTCTTCGAGTGCACCACATAAAGAACATTGTCACATAGCACCAAATGAGCCACATTTCTTTTGTGGAAATTTATCAATGTGACATGTACGTTTATTTTTCATATGATTCATATAATCAAGTTTATGAATGCAAAATATTAGTTGAATCAGATGATAAGTGGTTACCAGTGTTTCGCGGTTACAAAAGAACTTATGTAATTCTGTGTAAGGATTCATAAATACTTTCTTCGAGGGTAGCAACGGAGTTAAATATTCTTCATTGTGGGATCAAAAATTAAGTTACAACGAGCAACATAACATTAATAAAAATAATTCAATATATAACTAAACGTTGCCTATGGGAATATCGAGGTTCAGCATTCCGACGATACAAGTTTTTTTTTCCCGTTTTCTTGTGCTCAAAACTAAAGATTTCAATACCATGATAAATGAAATTGTTAAATTTTCAAACAATTTGTATTCATGAGTGAAAAATCATATTAAAACTTGTAGTAGGAACCAACTTCTTTAGAAGTACATAAATCATTCGTAAAAAAATGAAGTCTGAATTCCACATAGGGAAAAAGTGAAAAACTAAATAAAAATTTAATAAACAAAAATGAAAAAAAAATTCGAAAAATTTCTCTAGGGTAAGCTAACCATATGACCTCGGCTAGATCCGTCCATGTCCAAGGGTATAGCACAGTGGTTGGGTTGGATAGTAATGAACTTGAACTGTGTAAAATAATTTAAGTTGATTTGCTTGTGCTTGTTTGGTAGGGATTTTGTTAATTAATTTTTTGACTGTTAGAGGTAAAGTGGTTCCTGTCTGTGAGTGAAAAATTAAAAAAATGACGGCTGTAATAGTGAAATAACGGTAAAAAAATTGATTTTAATTGGGTTTTAAGCTATACCAAGTTTGGTAGGGATTTTGTTTATTGATTTTTTTACCGTAAGCGCGATAAAGTGGGTCCTACATGTGAGAGAAAAATTCAAAAATGATGGCCGAAATAGTGAAATAACGATAAAAAAATTTGATGTTAATTGAATTAAAATCTCTACCAAATATGCTCTAAATATACTTTTATCCACATATTCAGCAAAATCAATAATTTATTCTCCATATTTAGAAACACTTGAATGCACAATCAAACAAGCACATAGTACAAGCAGTTAAAGTGGTGGTGGGCAACCATGGGCAGCTGTAACCGCTGCTATTGGTCCTCGACAGTTGCAAACGACTTCTGTTGGCAATTGATGGCTTCATATAAAAGCGACGTTGACAGCTACAGTGGTGAAATGCTCGTCGGTAGTTGTAAGCAGCGACCATTAATAACAATAACGATGGTTGAAGTCGAAATGAAATTAATTTTCCAGTGATTTTGAAATAGACTTTGTTATTTGTACATTCGAGATTGACACCCCGGATGACACTCTCCTCACAAGAGAGGGGCTCACAATATTTTATTATATGTGGACCCCCTTCTCTTGTGAGGGGAATGTCATCCGGAGTGTTAATCACAAATGTACAAATAACTTTATTGTTTTGAAATGGTTTATTGAAGCCTTACGTGGTCCTGTAACATGGAGGGACCAATTCTAAGGACACGTACAAATTACAGAGTGGGCTGGTTCAGTCATTAAACCTAATTTTAAGTTCCCAGGGAGTGGGACAAACAAAGTTCACAGGACCATTGGCTTTTTTTGGATTAAAATCTCGAGTCAAGGTCGACATTTAGTTTTAACCACATTTTATGGGATCCACAGCTTTTCAATTACATATTTCATTAGCTTTTATCAATAGCTTTTATCAATATATACTAAAAATCAAATTTTAATCTTCACCAAATGGAAAAGTAACATTTTCGACCTTGTTTGAGCCCCATTTTTTCAAAAAAAAATGAATTTTTAAATAGTGTATTGATGAGAAATGCGTGGTTAAAAAATACTAAGAAAAATTTTAGATTTATGTGTAATATTATTTTATTGAAAAATGTGTAGTTGAAATAAGGTCAAAACACTGTTCAAGAATTCAATTTTATTTTATTTATTTATTTATTTTTGAAAAAATGGGGCTCAAACAAAGATGGTATATAAACATATTTAGATATTTTATTGAAGTGAGAGATTATTTTTTCTAAAAGTGACTTTTACTCGAGGTTGTCAATGGGCCCGACACGGCCCATGAAAGCACGAGCTTGGCTCGGGCTCGCCACGAGCTGAGCTCGTGCTTGTTTTTAAACGAGCCGAGCCCAGCTCGTCCAAAAAAGGGCGAGCTCGTGGGCCCAGCCTAGCCTGGCTCGCGAGCAGACGTCATCTTTATTTTATTTTTTTGGGGAAACAAATAGGTAAATAATAAATTAGAAAATAAAGAAGTAATTTTAATTTTTGAATCGTGAATTTTTTATATAAAAAATTAGGTAAAAAATTTAAACCCTCCTCCTTTATCCGGGTTTGGGACCGGCTACTTAAATTTAGAGTAGACGGAGTTAAAAATTGCGTTGTTTGTTTGTTTGTTCGTATACAATTTTTTAAAGAAAATTTAAAACAGTATTAAAAATCATTTTTTCAAGCAACGCTGCGCATCCCCTTACATATATTTCGAAATAAATCCCTTCTAAAAATTGAAAGGGTAATCGAATGCCCTTTCAATTGTCATAAGTTTTTACTTCGAAGATTATATATAATTTTCGAAGTGAAAGACTTATGACAATTGAAAGGGCAATCATTTGATTACCCTTTCAATTTTCAGAAAGAGTTTACTTCGAAAATTATATGCAAAGGTATGCACAGCGTTGTTCGAGAAAAGAATTTAAAATGTAGACATATAGTAGTAATAGTAACAAGTACTAACAAAAATTTAACTAAATTGGTGGAAAGATTTTTTTTTCTTTTTTTCTTTTAACTAAAAGAGAGAAAAAAAATAAAAATGAAATCTTATTTTTTTCTTTTTAAAATAGATAAAATATAAACCCTTCTCCCTTATCCGGATTTGGGACCGGCTACTTAAATTTTCAGTAGGTGGAGTTAAAAATTTTACACGAACAAATTTTTGTAGCGTGTACAATTTTTTTAAAAAAAAAATTAAAAGTGAGGATAAGAAAAGAAATGTTCCATCAATATAATTAAATCAAATATCATTTACTTAACGACATGCAATTTCGACATATTTATCTTGTAGTCGAAAATGAGCGTCCTATCAATCCTTAACGCACATTAACGCTTCTAAAATATCTTATTTCAGTCGGCTCATGACCTCGTTCAAAACTCTTTTACTTGCACTAAAGCAGACTCCGAAGCAAATGTGATGGTGTATCAAATGTTAAGGCGTTTGAAATTTGATCAATTATATATTTAGTTCCCGATAAATTATATCGGGGGTCCATCATGCATGCTAAAAGAAATAATATAGGCAAGTCTTCCCAATATTTTCTAAATTTTAATTTCATAGCAATTATAATTTCACTAAAATTAGGGTCATTTTTGTATTTATGAAATGTTCTTGCAATTATATAAAGACTCAAACACCATATAACTGGTGGGATAGTAAACGCCTGATAAAATCTTAGTGATTTCATAAAAAGATGTCAAAAATCTTTTAATTTTCAAAGCTATTTGCCAACAGTCAACATACCCTGTCATCACTTCTAACATGTGTATTGTCATAAAAGTCAGTTATTAAATGTTCAAAAACTTCAAATGACTTTAATAACAAGTAAGTAGAGTTCCACCTATGACTTACGTTGCTAAAAAATATTTTAGCATTTTGCACTCCTATTTCGGCACAATAATCCTCAAATGCTTGTTTTCTACTTGGGAAGATTGTGATATATATTAGTACGTTCCTAATATTTTGAAATTCATCCTTTATATGCTTTAAACCATCTTGGACAGTTAAATTCAAAATGACATAGACAACGAATATGAAACAAATACCCACCAAAATCAGGTTGCAGTAATCTATGCAATTTATCGGCAACTACTTTATTAACACGAGCATTATCGAAAGTAAATAAACGAATTTTACTTTCGCAATGATATTCTCTAACAATACTAATAATAGCATTAGATATATTATTAGCGTTGCGAGGAAACTCAATAATTCTAAAAGCAATAATTTTTTTATGTATGCACCAAAGTGGGTCTATATAATGTGCAGTTGCAGCTATATGTACTCTTTTATTAATCCATTCCCATATATCCGAAGTTAAAGATATGACACCTCCATATTTTTGCAAATCCATAATTAATCGTTGTTTTGTTTCAGTAAAATATTGTATTGTATCGGAACGAAGAGTGTTTCGACTTACCCCAACGTATCTTGGCTGCAGATATTCTTTTACAAATGAGACATAGTGTTGGTTGTCAATTAATGTCAAAGGCAACTTAACACCAGCAACAAATTTCACCATTTCGGTTCGAGCTCTCTCCTCTGACTACATCCATATGGATAGGGGTGCAGTAAAACCACCAACGTCTGGACTGCCAAATTGCAATTGTGTTTGACGGTTTGGAATAAGTTCGTGTTTGGCCGCACATACTTTGTAATGAAGGTTGAGATGGGTGGTACCAATTCCTCTTTGCCATGTCAATCTTTGTTGGCAGTATTTACATACTGCTTTGAATTCTGGGACTCCATTGGCGATTTTTTCCGTTGAAATCAATTTAAAGTGATCCCAACATTTTGCTTGTTTTTTCTCCTTTCGCTTTCCCTTCGTATCAGGAATGTTTAATTCAGCCTCTTCTTCCTGATCGTGTGCCGCTTCGGGAACAGCAGCATCATCCAAATTAATTGGATAATTTGGATTGCCGCTTACATGATGATGAAGATCCAAATCTGAAATATCTTCAGATAGGGATACGTCATTTAGACATTCAAATTGATTCCGAAATTGACTTTGCGGTGTTATAGGCGATTCGTTTCCTCCCATACGAACAAGTTTTCGACAAATGTGCGTAGATCCATTTGTTTAATTGTAATAAGTAATAATTAATAAAAGAATAATTGTATAAATGTAGTGAGAAATGAAAATTGGATGAAATTTTAATAAATATAGTGAGAACTGAGAAATGAAAATTGGATATTGTATAAATTGTATATAAAAATTGTACAATTTTCAATACAATACAAGAGAGTTGAGAGAAAGAGAATTGAGAGTTGAGAGTGAATTGTAGAAAAAATAGTGGCTAAATGCCACTATTTATAGAAGAAGAAGAAAAAAAAAGTTAAAGGACCGAAACAGTCACTGAAAAAATTCAGTGACCATTAACGATCATAATTTAAAAAAAAAAAAATATTCAGGGACCGAAACGGTCACTGACAAAAGTTAGTGACCGCAATAGTTACTGAACAAAGTGACCGAAACGGTCACTGAAAAAATCCAGTGACCATTAACGGTCATAATTTAAAAAAAAATAAAAATATATTTAGGGACCGAAACGGTCACTGAACAAAGTGACCGAAACGGTCACTTTTTAAAAAAAGTGACCGTTTCGATCACTTAAAACACGAGCCGCTCGCGGGCTGGTTTCTCGGCTTGTCTAACGAACCGGCTCGCGCTCATGCTCGTGTTTTTATGAGTCCGAGCAGTCCACGAGCTTCATTTTCGCGAGTCGACGAGCCGCTCGACCCATTTGTCACCCCTACTTTTACTTTGCTATCAAAGTCAGGCAACATAATTAATTATAACTTTTTGTGAAAAAAGTTTGTATCAAAGCTTAAATTTACTTAAAATCTGAACTTTGTAAGCTTAGTAAAATATGTACGCAATTACTCATAGGTCAATTATACAAGTTTAGATCATTTTCAAGATATTCTCTAATAACAAAGAGTGTTTTATGTATAATATAGATTATCTTTAAATTTTGAGAGTAATTTTTAAACGCTCCAACAATGATATCTATTTTGATTATTCATTTTATTTTTTTTCAAGAAATATTTACTGACTTCTATTTATTGTTTAACATTTTTTATATGTCAATGATCAATTAATTCAAATATGATTTGAAATCATGTAAGAAATATAGTATTCAAATTTATAACTTGTTAAATCTAATCATTATAAAATAATTTATAGAGTTAAACCCTCTATTTTGAAACTTATTTTGTATTGACTTTCTAAAATAGATAACATTTTGTATGTAGAGGGTTTCTTAAATAAGTTGGATCAAACTTAAGTTTATATTTAATTAAGAAATTATACTCAGTAACTAAAAATCAAATTTAGAACAAAAAAAATCAAATATTTAGTAAATTTTAATAAAAAAAATGAAGAAATGTGTGATTAAAATTATTTGTTTACTTTGACTTATTTTTCATTCAAATATTTTAGCTAAACCAAACATATGGTATTTATCTATCTATATTTTTTTGCTCACAATTATTTTAGTTTTCAAAATCACGATGACGGACGAGTGTCATTTAGCATTTTCAAAAAGAATCTTACGAATATTCTTCTTCACTTAATAATTTGTTTGATATAAATTTTTCGAGAATAGATTTTATGAAAAGTAAGTTTAGAAAATATGTGATTAAAAAATAGTAAAAAGTTACGAATATACGTATAAAATTATTTTATTGAAAAATTATGCGGAAAAATAGCGATCACTTCTTTCTTCTACTATTCGAAAGCCCATGGTTTCCGCAGGACACGTGAGATGAAACAACTTGTAAGTTTCCTAGTAGATTGGGAAGACAGATGGTCCTTCTTTCAGTCATTAAAGATTCTTGAATTATGAAATTCTTGCAGAAATAAGGACAAAATTAAATATGTTGTGGCCACACTAGGAAAATTTCTCTTGTTGGTAAAAATTCTACCTCACACTTCATCAAGTGTATTTTGTCTCGTATGGAGTCATTACAAAATATACGTGTTTCGCGCGTGTTAATTCGTTAACAATTAAAGAGGATCAGACGATTGTGTAAGGGACGAAACCTCTTGAGACAAAGTCCCAAAAAGGGGGTGTTCTTTTTATTGGCGATGAACTTTACAATTGGAAACGAAAAACAACGTGCCTCCAAGGGGCGCAAGCACACGAGTTATAGAAAAGGAAGTGTTTAAGTCTAAAAGCTAAAGGAATGAAAATTACATATTCTCTGTTCGAGAGTTTTGGATTCGGTCCTTTGCTTCTATGTTCTTTCTCCCATTTATACTTCATAGGCGATCCCTTTGTGATTAGCTGCTCTAAGAAAACTGCTTGATCGCCCTATAACTACCCACTTTCTTTGTAGTGGCCATTTTGTCATGAAACTGTCCTTTTAACTGCTGCCATTATCTTGCATCTTCAACCGCTTTGATTGAACCCCTTGAGTCGTGGAACGTGATAAGGTTACTTTAACAACTGCCTCAATAACTGCATTTCTTGATAATCATAATGCGTTATGTTTGTTGATACCTTGGGCGACTTGAAGATTTGGGCGAGACTCTGGGCGACCGTATGCCACTCTATTCGTTCAGATTCTGAGCGACTTGCAAACTTGGGCGATGGCGTTACCGCACTATTGGGCCCCTTATTTGGGCCTTCACCTTGATTCGTTCAATTGGATTTCGTTCTTTGGGCTATCTGATTTGGAGATCCTCCAATTGGGCTTTACTCTCTGGGCTGTTCGATTTGGGCTGAATTTTTATGTGTCAACAATTACCCCCCAATATGGCAGAATTAATAATAATTATTGAATTTTGCCATATTCACTTCACGTCTCCAGCAACGTTCGCGATTCCCAAAGAATTTCCCTCTATAACTTGAAAAGGTGCGTCGCTTTGCAAACCCTTATAAACTCCAAACACGCCATTTTACTGCTACCAAATCACTTTTCATATTTCTTGCGCATTCTTCACGATTCACTGTTCATCTTTTGCTTCCTTGTTACGTAACTCTGAAAAGCTTCGTTCCTTCTTCAATGGCCGCTTCACAATCTCAAGCTAGCGACTCCTTTAGTTTTGATGACTTTCAGAAACTTCTGAGTCGTCCATACGTAACCCCAAGTTTTCTCGCGCCCGCCGATGTTGGACGTAATGAGTTTTACTTGGGTCCTTTCTTCAACAATGCGGAGGCAGTTGAACAGGCGGCGGTGGGTCAGCTCTTTCCTTGCACTCATGGCCCTCCTTTTCTGAATTCTTTGCCGCCGGGGCCACTTCGTGAAAGAGGTATTCGCACTTGACCCAAATCTGACGTAGCTTTTCGTAGGTGGCATGCTCGTCTTGTGGGTCATGATCCTACTAAGGCACTTTTTGATAGCGCTAGGATTTCTGATTTGTTGGAAGTCTTTATTCACCCCCCTACTTTTGATTCAGCGCTCTTTCCGATTGCTTTGAGCTTTTGGTCCTCTGAGTATAACACATTTATTTTTCCTCTTGGCCCCATGTCTATTACGTTAAGGGATGTTGGAGCCCTGGTAAATTTACCACCTTTGGGCGATACCATTTTCCCTGGCATCTTAGTTTCTGGTGGCGCCCCACAGTTCGGTAAAAACTATATCGATTCTTATTCAAGCCTGCAGACACTCCACAATCATTCGAGTGCTGAGCCTACTCATGCTGAGCGAGTGGCCTTCCTTTTAGTTTGGCTTTGTAAATATGTGTTGTGCGTGCCTAGTATAAAGCCCTCTCTGAGTTATCTACCTATAGCGCACGAACTGGCGCGTGGCAGACCTTTGAATTTATGTTCTTTGTTTTTGGCTACCCTTTATAGAGGTATGGCTTTTCTTCGGGCTCAATTGAAGAATGGTGCATCTCCTACTGGCAGTGGACCTCTTTGATTCACTCAACTGTGGTTGAGATCCTATTTTCCATCGCTTGGTGCTCCATCCATTTCTCGTCCTTCTGCTAACTGTTACGGGCTAGCTATGGAGCCTTTAACTCCTGTAAGTATGTCCAGAAGGGACATTTTTTCATTCTTTTATTGTTTAGATTCAATCTCTTCCTTCTTTCCTTTTCCTCCTTTTTTGACTCCGGACTATGTACATCCTCCTTCCACTCTAGATAACGCGAGCACCTCTCTGCTCATTTGGATCCAGTTCTTAACTGGGAGGGAGCTTTTCCACAATATCTTAACTGGGACCAATGTCAAAGCTGGGGTAGAAATTTATGCTCCCCAATTTTTTGCTCGGCAGCTTGGTTTCGGTCAAACTTGGCCTGTTCCTCTTTGCTATTCGAAGAACTTAAACGACCGTTTTCATAACATTAATAAGGTGGAAGCAGAGGCTATAAACGCTCGCAACCTCCATTTATCAAGCCATTTTTCATTAGCCCCTTTTAATCCTTGTCATGCTACTCACCCTCTTTTCGAACAACTTTGGTCATCGATGAAGCGCAGATTATTTGCGATTGAGGCCAATCGTTCCTTTCATTCATTAGACCAACCGAGTATTTCTTCTCCTCCTCCTGTTTTGGTCACTCCTTTGTCTATTCGGAACCCCTCTCCTTCTCGTCGTACTAAACAATCTGCTCGTCCATCTTCTTCTCTCCCTGCTAGGCCAACTATGGCCAAAAGTGCTCCAAGCCGCAAACGGCCAGCCTCAGCATCTCCCATTCTAGAGGATGATGTTGATGATGATGATGATGATGTCCCTCTTATCGTTAAGAGGAATGTAATTAAATTGGTCTATTTACAAGTATGCTCTTCCCCATTTGAAATTTTTCTATGTACTGATGATCTTTTGGACTTTTCAGAAAAGCTCAGCTTCCCCTTCAAAGGCTTTGGCATTACCAACTCCTGCTCCATCATCCTCTGTTGAGGCTACTTCATCCAAACCGGTTGATGATGGGACCATGCTTAAAGGTACATCTTCAGTCCCAGATTCTTCATCACAACCCATGAATGAGCCACCTTCCTCCCAGGGCGTCGACCCCCCCAATCATCGAAGCAGAAGGTAATTCAGTTTTTGATATCTTACCTTTGCTCGTGCTATTGGTTTCTGACTGGTTGCTCTTTGAACTTTGCAGATACTCCCATGAGTCCGCCCGTTGTGGCAACATCTTCTCGCTCGGACAAGGGGAAGTCCTCACGAATGGATGAGTCGTTGGTGGCCAGCTTGGCTGAGGGTGCGCCATCTTCTACGATTGTCGACGAGGTAGTTTTTCTCTTTGCCCCATTCCTATTTCCAACTTGTTCGTTGTAGCGAATATTTTTAATGTTGGCAATCTTCTTTGCAGGATGCTGACAGGATTGTGCGTTCTATCCAGGATTTGTTCGCTTCCCGGGGGCAGGTCCAAATGCCTCGCCCTGTTCCATCTGATCGTCCTGCTGCTTCTTCAGAAGAAGACTTGAAGTTCTTGAAGGAGTTGGTATTTGAATACGTGTCCTTCATGGACATGGACATTGGAAGGGCTAGTGCTGCCAGACACAAGGATGAACTTGAACGCTTGAGTGCGAAATTAGAGCAAGCACTGACGCTTCCGTCGCTCAATCTTTCT